GCTGGTCAGGTGTATGCCACACACCCCTTTTCATTCACGTCCCCACGTCCCAGCCTGCCTCCTTGGGCCCATCTTCTTATGTCCAACCCTGTCCCCAGCCCTACCCGCTTCCCAGGCCATCCTGAACTTCACTCCCATCGAGTCATTCCTAAGCCCCCTCACCCCGTGTCTCTCTCTCTAGATCAGTGGTTCTCAACCTTCTGGCCCTTTCAATACAGTTCCTCATGTTGTGGTGACTCCCAACCATAAAATTATTTCCGTTGCTACTTCATCGTCATGTTGCTACTGTGATGAATCGTCATGTAAATATTTGATATGCAGGATGGTCTTAGGCGACCCCTGTGAAAGGGCCGCTCGACCGCCAAAGGGGTCGCGACCCACCGGTTGAGAACCGCTGCTCTAGATCCATCTCCATCCCCTTCCCTGTCAGGAGCTAGAATCTCAGCTCCGTCAAGCCTCCATTCTCATTTCCGGATCCAACATCCGTAACCCACGGTCAAAGGCCACCCCACTTTATACTGTTCAGTTTACCCCATTCCAGCCTCCTCTCTATCCCAGCCTCTTTCTCCCCCGTCACGACCTCAGTCCCCCAAGCGGCAGCCCTCACATTGGTGCCTGTATCCGACCGCTCCTCCCTCCTCCCCACAGAGTGACTCCGGCGGCCCCCTGGTCTGCGATGAGACCCTGCAGGGCGTCCTGTCCTGGGGCGTTTACCCCTGCGGCTCCGCTCAGCACCCGGCCGTCTACACGCAGATCTGCAGATACACTTCCTGGATCGAGAAGACCATCCGCTCCAACTGACCCCGCGACTCCTTCCCCATCTCACATCTTTCCTTGTACAGGACTTTCCCTCCCTCACCCCGTCCAGAGCTCCGCCACCCGTCCTTACCAGCCAGCACCTCTCCTCTCGCCTCCTCCTCCTCCTCCTGCCCCCTGGAGTGCAGGACGCGGGAGCCCGAGAGAGGTCAGGAAGCCAGTCCCTGAGAGAAGCTGTCGGCCACCCAGCCTGGCTTCCTCGGCCGTTCTCTGCTGGGTGACCCTTGGGCAAGCCAGGGACCTCTCTGGGCTTCCGTTTCCACCTGGAAAATGAAGACAAAGAAGTGCCTACCTCGTAGACGTGTTGTGAGGAAACCATGATAAAGCGTGTGTATGTGTGTAGACCAGTGGTTCTCAACCTTCCTAATGCCGCGACCCTTTGATACAGTTCCTCATGTGGTGGTGACCCCCAACCATAAAATTATTTTCGTTGCTACTTCATAACTGTAATGTTGCTACTGTTATGAATCGTAATGTAAATATTACGATTTATAATATGATATGCAGGATGTATTTAGGCGACCCCTGTGAAAGGGTTGTTCGACCCCCAAAGGGGTCACGACTCACAGGTTGAGAACTGCTAGTGTAGATCATGATGGTCGTTCTCAGTAAAGCATGACATGGCATGTGGTGTTAGGATCCGTGAACAGGTCCTGGTGACAACATGTGTGACTCTGGGTCTCAGAGAGGAAAGCACAGGGTAGTCCCCAATCCTATCACACACACCCCCTCTGGCATGTGGTGTTAGGATCCGTGAACAGGTCCTGGTGACAACATATGTGACTCTGGGTCTCAGAGAGGAAAGCACAGGGTCCCCAATCCTATCACACACACACACACCCCCTCACACACACACACATCACACACACACACACACCCTCACACACACACATCACACACCCCAGGGGTCTCCGTTCCTCAGGGCTGATGGGAACATCACATGGCCCACCCCCCTCGGAAGTTCCATGAAGCACCTCTGAGCCATTTCCTTCCTCCCTCCCATTGTGTCCCATGTCTGGGTCCACCCAACACCAGTTGGTCCTGCACAGCAGGAGCTGGTCCGGCTTTTAGTCGCTTGGTGCCTTCTTTGTCTTCCTGGGGCCGCTGGAACACGAGAGACCTCACCCCGGCTCCATCCCAGCCTCTGAGGCCAGGGGAACGCTCCTCGCCTTCATTGCTAAGTTCCCGAAAAGAGCCCTCCCTCTGACATTTAGGGGAAATTTTCTTTCTCTCTGTTCAAGCCAATTGCATCCCTTCACCAACCAAGAGCTGCGATCCCCTCATCCAATGCCCCTAACCCAAGTCCAAGGCCATCCTTCACGGCCCCATCCCAAGATGGCTTGGAGGTTTTTGCTCTGAAAGTGGGTGAAGAAGCGTTCTTTGCCTCGCTCTGAAGCTGTCTCCGTGTAAATATTCCTATACAGTGGGGCCTTGACTTACGAGTTTAATTCGTTCGCAGACCGAGCTCGTTAAGGAGCTCGTTAACTCAAATTATCAACTCAATGCAAAAAATGGGCTGAGAGACAGCTGGTATCTCAAAAAACTCATTAGTCGGGACACTCGTAAGTCAAGGCCCCACTGTGCCTGAGGGGTTCGGGGGAGAGAGGAGGAGCGGAGATAATACACAAAATGTGGGCAAAGCCAATATATGATCTTGCACCTCCACTTAGCCTGGTGTTTGGAGCGGAAACATAAGCCGACCCTCTGAGCAACAGAAATTTTCCATCCAGCACAGGCTGTTCCATTCAAACACCAATTTGTTGAGCATTTATTGGATGGCAGGCCGGGTGCTGGGCTGGGAACATAGCGGTGACCACACGGTCGCTGCCCCCACAGATGACTGGTGCACAGTCCCTGGCACGGACTCCTCCCTGCTCCCATCAGCACACCCAGGAAACCATAATGAAGCATCAGCTGAGTTTGTTATGGGAGGATCGGAAGCAAAGCGGGCGGGGACTCAAAAACTTGAATCATTTTCTTTTTTTAAAAAAAAAATTTTTAAATTGATTTCAGAGCGAAAGGGAGAGGGAGAGAGAGAAACATCAGTGATGGGAAAGAATCATTGATCCACTGCCTCCTGCCCGCCCCCTAGCGGGGATCGAGCCCACAGGCCGGGCATGTGCCCTTGACTGGAATCGAACCTGGGACCCTTCAGTCCGAAGGTCAACGCTCAGTGATGGCGAACCTATGACACGCGTGTCAGAGGTGACACGCGAACTCATTTTTTTGGTTGATTTTTCTTTGTTAAATGGCATTTAAATATATAAAATAAATATCAAAAAGATAAGTCTTTGTTTTACTATGGTTGCAAAGATCAAAAAATTTCTATATGTGACATGGCACCAGAGTTAAGTTAGGGTTTTTCAAAATGCTGACACGCCAAGCTCAAAAGGTTCGCCATCACCACTGAGCCAAACCTGCTAGGGCTTGAATCATTTTTAAAAATATATCTTTTATTGATTATGAGATAGAGTAGAAGGGAGAGGGAGGAGAGAGAAACATCTATGTGGGAGAGAAGCATTGATCAGTTGCCTCCTGCACGCCCCCTACAGGGGAGCGAGCCTGAAACCCAGGTTTGTACCCTGAGCGGGGAATTGAACCGGCAACCTTTTAAAAAAAATTTTTTTTTAAATATATTTTATTGATTTTTTACAGAGAGGAAGGGAGAGGGATAGAGACTTAGAAACATCAATGAGAGAGAAACATCAATCAGCTGCCTCCTGCACACCTACTGGGGATGTGCCCGCAACCAAGGTACACGCCCTTGACCGGGATCGAACCTGGGACCTTTCAGTCCGCAGGCCGACGCTCTATCCACTGAGCCAAACCGGTTAGGGCTGAACCAGCGACCTTTCAGTGCATGGACAACGCACAGCCCACTGAGCCACACCAGCCAGGGCTTGATTCATTTTTAAAGGCAGCTCACACCACAAGTATTTGCTGAATCCTGTCCCGTGTCAGGTCCAAGAGATGAATCAGACTGGGCCCTGCTTTCAAGGAGCTGCTGGTCAGGCCAGGGAGACAGGCAAGCCTTCCATTCCTGGCATTCAAGTCTCCGCCCCAAGGTTCCCTCAAGGAGACCTTCCAGCATGGCCTGGGCTGAGGCGGTTCCCGCTCACCCCCAAGTCACCAAGCCATTGTTTTGTTTCTCTCACAGCCCTTGTTAGAGCAGAAACGATCCTATATAATAAAGAGCTAATACACTAATTAGACCAGACAGCAGAATGACTGTCCGGACGACCTTCCGGACGAAGCTAGGGCTGCGAAGGATGAGCCCCTTGCAAGAATTTTGTGCATCGCGCACTAACTGGTTTGGCTCAGTGGGTAGAGCATCAGGGTCCCGGGTTCAATTCTGGTCAAGGGCACATGCTGGGTTGTGGGTTCGATTCCCAGTAGGGGGCATGCAGGAGGCAGCCGATCAATGGTTATCTCTCATCATTGATGTTTCTATCTCTCCCTCTCCCTTCCTCTCTGAAATCAATAAAAATAAATAAAATCCTATATAATAAAAGCCTAATATGTAAATCAACCAAACAGCAGAACGACCAGTGGAACGACCGGTGATTATGATGCGCACTTACCACCAGGGGGCAGACGCTCAATGCAGTCCTTCGGTTGATCTCTTACCCCCCACCCCCCGCCTTCCTGCTGTAGTTTCACAGTCTGTTCGATGCTTCTTTGCCTCTATCTCCCTCTCCCTATGATTTCTTTCTCTTTCCCCACCTCAGCCACATCCCGTCTCCTGTGTGGCTTCCTGCCTCTGAGTCCTGCTTCTTCTCCCGCCTGCAGCCTGATTTCTGTGCAGGGCTCCTGTTCATTGGTCATTCAAGACTCCAGAGCCCGCCTTAGGGATCCTCCTCCTCACCCTCATCCTCCCTCAGGCCACTGACTGTCCTGCATGTAGATCCGGTACCTGGAGGTCATGGGGAACGAGGGCTCCCCCTCTTTGGAGCTTCCTCCTCACCCTCATCCTCCTTCAGGCCGCTGGCTGTCCTGCATGTAGATCCGGTACCTGGAGGTCATGGGGAACGAGGGCTCCCCCTCTTTGGAGACACCAGGAGGATTCTATGTCCTAGGCCCCCTTCCCCATGTAGTCAAGCCCTGGCCCAGCGGGCAGTCAGCTCTTTCTAACAGGGGAGCCCCCTGTATGGCTCCCTCTCGAGGCATCCAGGCCAGGCCCCAGGGCTTCCTCCTCCCCCAGTGACATTTCCCAACCCCAATTAATCACAGGGTGGCCCCAGGGAGGAGGAAGGAGATGGCATGGCGAACCATAAAGAAGCAGGGACACCAGGGCCAGATGCCAGGACCCAGGCGCCCAGAGGTCATGCAGCTGGGATTTGTCTGTGCTCTGCTTTCTCTCCTGGCAGGTGAGGCTCCTGCCATCCTCCCTGTCTATCCCGCGGACCCTCTAGGGCCCCAGCAGCCTCTCCACTTTGCCCTTCATGCCCCCAGCCTTCTGCTCCTGCCCTCCAGGCGTCTCTGCCTCTCCCCCCAGCCCTCCCACCTTGCTCTTCACTGACCCCCCTCTGCCTCCCACCTGCCCGCAGGGAACAGCTGGGCAGACACCAGAGCCATTGGGGCTCAGGAATGCCACCCCAACTCGCAGCCCTGGCAGGCAGGCCTCTTCTATGTCACGCGCAACCCCTACCGCTTATTGTGCGGGGCGACCCTCATCAGCGACCGCTGGCTGCTCACAGCTGCCCACTGCTACAAGCCGTGAGTGACCGCTCTGGGGAGGGCGCCGGGGATAAGAGAAGGTGAGGGGGGCAAGGGCCTCTGGTAGAGGAGGGAGGGAGCTGTAGGCAAGAAGGGATGAGCCTCTGTTTCTGTTCCCAGAAGTTCAACTCGGAATTACAAAGAGTCAACTTTTCCTAATTCTAGAGTTTTTAAAGAATCTGGTTCTAAGAGTCTAAGATTGGAAATTTACAGTCTTTGGATCCTCGACTCTGACCCAGAGAAATCCAGAACCATAGACTCCTAAAATCTTGGATCGACGAGATCCTACAGGAGCCTCAGAGAATTCTAGAATCTTAGAAGTCCAGAGCAGCGCTGGCAATGAAATATAGCACTAGCCATTTAAGTTTAACATGTCTAGTAGACACGTGGCAAAAGTAAAAGAAAAACAAGAAGATTTCATTTTAATGATAGATTTACCTTCGTACTCAAAATATTATTTTAACATGTAATCAGTGTCAAATATCTACAAATGTCATTGCTTACTCTTTATGGTGTAAGCCTTTGAAACTGGACATGTATTTTACACGTATGACACACCTCCATCAGAACTAGTTGTACTGGATAAGAGCAATACTAGAATCTTAGAGTTTCCGGCTAGGTTCATCGACTACAGATGCTCACAGTCCTAGAATACTGTGATTTGTAACATTCCAGAATCTTGAAACAAGAAAATTCTAGAAGGTTGTATTCATCAATGTCTAGAATTTGTCGCATTTAATATCCACAGAATGCTATCATTCCAGATTCTTAAAATCTCTACACTTTTAAGTCAGAGAATTCTTGAGTCTCCAACTACTTGAATCTTAGATTTTTCAATTTCCAAAATCAATAGACTCCTAGAATTCTAGAATGATGATATTCTCATCGGATTGTCCCAAAATATTAAAATTCTAGGCTCATTAAGTTCTAGGTTTAATTCAGATAATTTTAAAATCCTAGAATTTTGACCTAGAGGAATCTAGAACAGGATAATCTTGGATTCATGACATTCTAGAACTTGAGCCTCATAGAATTCTAGAATTTGTAGGTTCCTAAGGGGTTAGAATCCTAGAGTTCTGGGCATTCTGATAGAATCCTAGAATTTACCTGAGGCAGAAATCCTGTCTGCATATCTCTGGAAAGGGGGCTGCCTACCCTGTTCTGATGTTCTTCCCTCCAGGAATGAAGAGCAGGTGTTGCTACAGGATGCTATGTGGGAATTTCCCATCATGCATTGCTCCATGGTGGGGCCTCTTTCAGCTCACAGTCTGTACACCAGGCTAGGAGAGTAAAGTTGAGATTTCAGCCCCAAAGATGAAGAAGGGGAAAAGAAGAGATATGGAGGTAGAAGGGATTGAGAGGCAAGGATGAGTTAGGGTGGGGGGAAAAGGCCAATTTCCCAGGCACAGAGATAGAAATAACTTCACACTCCTCAAACTCGGCGTTCTCGGACATTAGCCTGGTCCCTCACATGAGAGGTCAGAGGCTGGGGGTTGGACATGTAGACCACCAGAAGGTCCCCAGCTGTCCAGGACACGAACCCAGAGTAGAAGATGTAAACTAAAACCGCAGTCAGAAGACATGAGGTCAAACCTCAGGAGGAAAGGCATTGAGGGGTTGGCGATATGGCAGTCAAGAAAAGCCGGGGGCCACAGGTGACCCCAAAGTTGGGGATTTTCCATACCCCATCAGCCGGCCACTCCACACAGAACCACCAGGGGTGGGGCTGTTTTTGTGTTGTAGGTGGAGCCCCTGTGTGCCTACAAGGTGCCAGGGAACCCAGGTCACCAGCAAGGCTGCAGGTGGGGCAATGGAGAAGGTGGCTCAGGTGGCATGGACCTAGGACATGGTGTGAGGGAGAACTACAAAAGCAGAGGCAGACAAAGGGATGGAGTGGGGATCGGGAGCCCAGAGAGGGTGTGTGCCTGGCTTAAAATCACACAGCACTCTTGGATCGCACATATGATGGGGACCCAGAGAGGAGATATATATACTTTGTGGAGAGTCACACAACACCTGAGGTCTGTCCCAGCAGGTTTCTGTGGGTCCGCCTGGGGGAGCATCACCTCCAGAAAAGGGAGGGCCCAGAGCAGCTGTTCCGGGTCATGGACTTCTTCCCCCACCCTGGGTTCAAGAAGAACCGTATCACCCAAGACTACAATAATGACATCATGCGGATCCGTCTGCCCAGGAAGGCACGCCTGGGTCCTGCCGTGCAGCCCCTCAACATCAGCCAGACCTGCGTCTCCCCCGGCACCCAGTGCCTCATCTCAGGCTGGGGGGCCGTGTCCAGCCCCATAGGTACAGCCCCTTACATCTTACGCTGTGGGTCTAACTCCCTCCTCCTTCTCTGTCTCTGCCTTTCATGTCTATTCTCTATCTATTGATCTATCTCTCCACCCATATGTTCCAGCAAATCTAAGATGCTATCCTATATAATAAAGAGGTAACATGCAAATTGTTTGTCACACCCTCACAAGATTGCTGCCTATGACCAGGCTGGCAGGGGGTTAGTGAGGGACAACCAAACGACTGAACAGCAGGCCGCATGGGGCAACCAGGCTGGTGGGGGGGCCGTGAAGGGCGATCAGGCTGGCAGAGGGGGCAGTTAGGGGCAACCAGGCCGGCAGGGGGGCAATTAGGGGTGATCAGGCCAGCACTCAGAGGCAGTGAGGGGCAATCAGGCTGGTGGGGCGGGGGGGAAGGAGGCCAGTTAGGGGCGACCAGGCAGGCAGGCAGGTGCACGATTAGGAGCCAGTGGTCCAGGATTGTGAGAGGGATGTCTGACGGCCGGTTTAGGCCCGATTCCGGGGATCGGGCCTAAACCAGCAGTCGGACATCCCCCGAGGGGTCCCGGATTAGAGAGGTTGCAGGCTGGGCTGAGGGGACACCCCCTCCCCATGCATGAATTTCGTGCAGTGGGCCTCTAGTAAATTATAAGGTGCATCATTACTTCACTGAGAATGGGGGGTCCCACTGACCCTTGTGAGACTACGTTTACTGGGAGACACCTCCTGATTTCAGGCTGTTTAAAGGTGCAAATATATGGATCTTAGAATCCAAATAAGGCTGCCTATTCTCAGAGTCAGAAATCAAAGACCTATTAGCCAAATTGGGCTTCTCACATTAGTGCTGGAGATTTTGCATAAAAGCTGGGTTTCTGGATTCACTTGGAAAGAACTTGGGGCAATGCTGGACCCACGTTTCCCAAAGACCGACCACTGTTGGATGGAGAGAGTGGAGGTGGCCCCTGCAGATCGAACCACAACAGGGCCTGGCACCCCACTTCCATTTACCCACCAAGCCCCTGGATGCATCTGAGTTGGCACCCAGGCATTATCTATATTGACATATGTGTGTTTCTATCCATGTCTATCTCTATGTGCTGTAACCTCTTCTATCTCTACCTCGTATCTCTAAATCTCTCTCTCTCTCTCTGTATCAATGACCATCTCCCTATAAATGTCTCCTCCCCTTTAACTCGGGGCCTTCTCGCTGGATATCTGTGGGCCCATTTCTATTTCGGCATGGCCTCCTCTGCGAATTTCTTTCCCCTTAAAAGGTCTCTAGCTCCTGCCACGGTCTCTGTTTTTCTCTGTGTAAAATATATGTGCGTCTCTTCTCGTCTCTTGCCTCTCTGCGTGTTTCTGGTTCTCTCCTCTTCATATACATTCAGTCTATGATTCTGTCTCTTTGTCACTGTCTCGTTTCTTGGAGAAGCAGATGCTGTGGCTCCATGGATCCTCCTTAAGAAAGGGGTTGTGTGTGCTGCCCTGGCCAGTTTGGCTCAGTGGATAGAGCGTGGGCCTGCAGACTGAAAGGTCCCGGGTTCGATTCCGGTCAAGGGCACATGTCCGTGTTTCAGCTCGATCCCCAGTAGGGGGTGTGCAGGAGGCAGCCGATCTGTGGTTTTCTCTCCTCATTGATGTTTCTATCTCTCCCTCTCCCTTCCTTCTGAAATCAATTTTTTAAAAATTATTTTTTTTTAAAGAAAGGGGTTGTGTGTGCTGAGTGACATGGGTACAGCTGCTGATCCTCGGTGACCTCCTTCCCCAACAGTGCATTTCCCAGTCACGCTGCAGTGTGCCAACATCAGCATCCTGGAGCCCAGACTCTGCCGGCGGGCATATCCCGGCCAAATCTCCAAGCGCATGCTCTGTGCCGGCCTGTGGGAGGGGGGCCGCGGCTCCTGTCAGGTGAGATCTACTCTGGGAAGGAGGTGGAGGGTGGGGATCCTGCTAAGACACTGGTGCCAGCACCAGGATTGATAGATCTAAGAAAGGGGGGAGTTGGGGGTCTGAGCTCCAAGTCCTGGGGGAAGAGGGTGCTAGGGGCCCAGAATGCTCGGTCCCAGGGAGGGGTGAAGGCTGTGAGCTTTTCCTCCTGGGTCTGAGGGCGGAGGGTCTGGAGACCTGGATGTCTGGGTGTCAGGGGAGCGGAAACCGGGTGGTCTGTGTGATGTCATACTAGTCGTGAGACGGGCCTAACCGTTTCTCTGCTTTTCTCCCGCGCACAGGGCGACTCTGGGGGCCCCCTGGTTTGCCATGGGACTCTGGCTGGTGTGGTGTCTGGGGGCTCAGAGCCCTGCTCCCGACCTCGGCACCCCGCCGTCTATAGTAGCGTTTGCCACTACGTGCGCTGGATCAGAAAGACGATGGAGGAATACTGAGCCCTCGTGCCTTGGATGACGGGGGGCGGGGCACCGGGTAGGGGGGGGTCCAGCCTCCACGGTCTCCACCCGTGCCCTCAGCTGTCCTGGAGAGCAGCCTTCTGGACACTTGTATCCTCCTGGTTCCAGCTCTAAGACGTCAGCAAGAACTGGCACCACCTTGTGGAACAGCATCATCTGGTGGCTCAACCCCAGGCCAGCCATCCACGAAATAGCCCCGCCCCTCGGAACTTTGCCCAATGAGAGGTCTCCGCTGGACTCCAGCCCGTGTGTGTGTGTGTGTGTGTGTGTGTGTGTGTGTGTCCGCCTCCTTTGTCAGAGTCCCCGCCCCCATGACGTCAGAGGTACTATAGCTTTCCCCCATTGGCGGGCAGGAAGGGTCTGGCCCCGCCCCTCACGGCCCTGCTTTGGGCTGGTCCTGGGTTTGAATCCTGCCCTGGACCATCTGGGAGAAGTTGAGGGGAGGGTCTGGGTTTCTTCAGATCCAATGGATGGTTTTGCAATAAAGGCACCGCGGAGCCCTTTCTGCTTTCTGCTTGGGTCATGGGATGGAGGAAGGGCAACGAGAGGGTGTTGGAGGCCCCAAAGGGTACCACCACCGGAGGAGGCCAATGTGTGTGTGTGGGGGAGAATGGGGAACATCTGTCCTACTGTCCATAAGAATCCTATATAATAAAAGCCTAATATGCTAAGTGTCTGACCATTCCACCATTCAACCAGTCGCTATGACATGCACTGACCACCAGGGGGCAGACGCTCCGACCAGTAGGTTAGCTTGCTGCTGGGGTCCAGCCAATGGGGATGGTCAAGACAAGCCAGACACGCCTTGGAGCCCTCCCACAGCCCCTCCCCGGGCCCCCACTGTGCACCAGTGGGGTCCCTCAGCCAGGCCTGTGCCCTCTCGCAATCCAGGACCCCTCGGGGGGAGTTGGAGAGCTGATTTCAGCCCGATTTCCCCAGGCCAGGCCGAGGGACCCCACTGGTGCACGAATCTGTGCACCGGACCTCTAGTAGTAATTTCATTTCCCCGGAGCCCTGCGTCGGTCCTGCCTGAAGTGTGTCCCCATCAGCCCTATTGCAGCAAGCCTCGTGGGTTCTGCTCAGGCTGGTCTGGTCGCCCCCAGGGGAAGGGGAAACCAGGTCATGGTGCCTCCCAAACCTGCCTGCCCAGGCCAGAAGCTCAGGGGACAGCGGGCAGGGCTGATCCACCCTCAGGTTCCTGACCAAGAAGACGTGTTTTTCTTCTATTCGGGGTTACTGGCTGCAGCAGCAGCAGCAGCCCCCCTCCTCCCTCAGTCCCAGAGTCCGGGCCCCAAGCCCTCTCATCCTTGTATGCTGGAGTCCAGACACCCTCCTCCTCCTCATTCAGACCCAGGAGTCTAGGCCCCGAGCCCTGGCCTCTCCCAGACCCAGACATCTGAGCCCCCAGTCCTTTCTGTTTCAGACCCAGGAGTCACAGCACTGAGCTCCTCTCCCTGGCCTCTGCACCCCGAGAATCCAGCCCCTCCTCCCTCCAGAATTTCCCTTCAGCCCCTCAGCCCCGCAGCCCCTCCTCACTCCAGCCCAGGCTGCTCTGTCAGCTCAGGGCGGGAGGAGGCGGAGCAGGAGGCGGGGAGTCCCAGTTAAAAGGCTCCAGGTCCCTGGACCAGGCAGAGTGAGCTCCTGGGGCCCCTTCCTCTGGGTCAGAATCAGTAGGTGGCCCCGCCCCCTGGCCTCTCAGAGCCTGGCACCTGGACCCGGGCCCCTCCTCCTTCAGGCCCAGGACTTTAACCAGAGAGCCCCTCCTCCTTCCAGCCCCGGGAATCTGAGCCCCAGCCTCCTCTTCCCCAAGATTCAGGAGGAGTCCGGGATACTAACTCCCTTCTCCCTGGGAACCTAAAAACCCAGACCCGCAGCCCCCTCTCTCCTCAGATTCAGGAATCGGGGGCCCCACCCCCTTCTAAGACCCAGGTTCTGGGTCCCAGCCCCTTCCTCCCACAGGACCCAGAAGAACAGCTCTGGATGCTCTGCTCCCCTGGACCCCCAATCCCACGAACCTACTAGGATTTCAGGCTCCCCCCTCCTCCTCTCTCAGCCCAGGCTCTCCCTCCCCCAGGCCTCAGCATGGGACGCCCACCGCCTGCTGCCATGTGCACCTGGATCTTCCTGCTCTTGCTGCTGGAAGCCTGTGCAGGTGAGGAGGGCCGGCCGGCACCGGGGGTGAGTGTGAGCCTGTGTGCTCGCCGTGGTGGCTGTGTGGGTGCCTGTGGTGGGTGAGGGAGGCGTGAGGTGTGTGATCGCATGTGGGGGCTCTGGGGCTGGCTTTGGTGGGGGCGGGCGGAGGCATGGCTCTGGGGACAGCTGGTAGGAGAGTGTCAGGGGATGCTGCAAATTTGCATGAGCACACCTAGCTTGGGGGCTGCTTGCCGAGGGGTGCAGATACCCACGGGAGTGTAGGAGCATGTGGGAGCATGTGGAAGTGTGTGATGACTCAGGGGCTTCCATTGCTATCGTGGTAATTAGCTAGTTAACTTTATTTTTTAATGTTTTTTTAATTAATTAATTAATTAATTTTTTTTGGTTTCAAGAGAGGAAGGGAGAGAAAAAAGCATCAATGATGAGAGAATCATTGATTGGCTGCCTCCTCCACGCCCCCTACTGGGGATGGAGTCTGCAACCCCGGGCATGGGCCCTTGACCGGAATTGAACCTGGGACCCTTCAGTCACAGGCTAACGCTCTATCCACTGAGCCAAACCAGCCAGGGCCAAAGAAAGCAAAGGGAATTCAGACATTATAAGCGTGGTCACCTGGGAAGTTTCACCAGGAAGCTACAACTTCAGCAGTATTGTTCCTCCAAGGGGATTCACACCCCTCCTTCCCCCATCCCGAGGTTGAGGGTGGAAAGGGCAAGTTAGACCAGTGAAGGCAGGATGACATATGGAAGGTGCTTGCCTGTCAGTCTCACCTGGGAAATGCTGGATTGTCTACGGCCGTGTGTTCGGCAAACTGCGGCTCGCAAGCCACATGCGGCTCTTTGGCCCCTTGAGTGTGGCTCTTCCACAAAATACCGACTTCTGCGCATGGGCCACGAAGTTTCAATCGCACTGTATGCGCCCGCCCGCACGTGGTATTTTGCCTTGACTCTAGGGCAGCGGTTCTCAACCTGTGGGTCGCAACCCCTTTGGGGGTCAAACGACCCTTTCACAGGAGTCGCCTAAGACCATCGGAAAACACATAATTACATATTGTTTTTGTGATGAATCACTAGGCTTTCATTATGTTCAATTTATAACAATGAAATTGGGTGTCACCACAACAAGAGGACCTGTATTAAAGGGTCGTGGCATTAGGAAGGTTGAGAACCACTAGTCTAGGGGGTGGCCCCATCAGAAGCTCTTGGAATCTTGGAAAGTTAATAGGTCAGTTTGAAGAAACTCCTGGTTAAAATCCCCCGACAAAGAGTTCCTTCTCTCCTGCTCTCTTTAGCTCCAGGACCCCACTGGCAGCTGCACGCCCGCCTTCTCCCTGCAGAGCCAGGTGGACCTCGCACGCAGGATGCTGGCCTGGACAGGACACTAACATGGAGCAGAAACCAGGGGCAGTGGCCTTTATCCTGGTCCTGCTGAAGATGAGACCGGATGTGTTCCGTGGTGGGATGGAGGGAAATGGGACATGGGAAAAGCAGGGGTTTATTTCCACACCCATAAACATCGCTCTCCTCCTGTGCCGGTCTCGGGAAACTCTTTTCCTTGAGACATGACAAGAACCCCACTGCCACCAATAACACAATGAGTGTCCGTGTTATTCCATGTGGCGGCATGTGCAAGCCGGGAGCCCCACACGGGAGGGTGTGCGGACACATGAGGAGAAAGGCAGAGAACCTGGGTGTGTCCCTTTGAACCCACAGTGGTTTTCCTGCCCTCCTCCTCACTCATCCCCCCCTACACTGCCCCAGGGGTGGCAATCCACCCCTCTCCCTCCTGCTGCAGGGCACTGGAGGGCACAGGAGAGCAAGGTGCTGGGGGCCAGGGGCTCAAGGCCCATTCGCAGCCTGGGAAGGCGGCTTTGTTCCAGGGCATTCAGCTGTCATGTCAGGGTGTCTTCATAGATGTCACAACTGGGTCCTCACAGAAGCCCACTGTAAAAATAAAAATAAGAAAATTGTGGGTGGCCCTGGCTGGTGTGGCTCGGGTGGTTGAGCGTGGTGCCGTGCACCAAAAGGTCACCAGTTCAATTCCCATCAGGACGCACATGCCGCTGGAGAGCCACCTGGATTCGCCCAAGAATCTGTCACTGATCAGCAACAAAGAACTGTGGCCTCACACCCCTGCCTTGGCCACGGGTCAGGCTGAGCCTGAGGCCCGGTTCCTGGCTGCAAATGATGGAGGGCTATGGTGTGAGCCACGGTGTTCACACTGAGGAGGGCCTCTCAATGACACGGACAGGAGCAGAACAACGCTGACTTCCCTTGCTGTTGGTGGGACTCTCTCTATTGTTGACTCTCTAGGTTGTGGGCTGTGGGCAGTGAAGAAGGAGGCGGAGGGTGGGGCCCGGCCGGCGTGGCTCAGTGAGCTTCAGCTTATAAACCAGGAGGTCACAGGTTTGTTTCCCCGCCAAGGGCACATGCCCAGGTTGCAGGCTCCATCCCTAGTGAGGGGTGCACCCAATTGATGATTCTCTTCTATCATTGATGTTTCTATCTCTCCCTCCCTCCCTCCCTCTCCCTTCCTCTCTGAAATCAATAAAAATATGTTTTAAAAAAACAAAAACCTGAATGGATGCTTGGCCTGAGGTGGGTTTGGCCTAAGGAAAGAGGGGGCTGGGTTTTCACATCAGGGAAGAGAAACTGGGGACCGAGTCTCTAACAGAGGAGGTTTGGGGGCCTGGGTCTGAGAAGCTGAAGGGCCCCAACTCCTGGGTCTGAGGGAGGACGAGGCTGGGGGCCTGGACCCCTGGGTCTGAGGGAGGAGGGGCTGGGGGCCTGGACCCCTGGGTCTGAGGGAGGAGGGGCTGGGGGCCTGGACCCCTGGGTCTGAGGGAGGAGGGGCTGGGGGCCTGGACCCCTGGGCCTGAGGGAGAAGGGGCTGGGGGCTTGGGAACGGTCTGGGTGTCTGGACTCCTGGGTCCTGGAGCTTTGGGGCTGGACCCCGGGAGAACCTGGTGTTTCCTCACTTTAGTGAAATACAACAAGGGCCTGAGCTGCTCCAGGGTCACCATCCTGAGCCCCAGGGAGTGTGAGGCCTTCTACCCAGGCGTCCTCACCAACAACATGCTGTGCGCGGGACTGGACCAGGGCCAGGACCCCTGCCAGGTAGGGCCTGCCCGGGGAGGGCCTCTGACCGGCGGGAGTGGGCAGAGGGAGGTGATGGGGGAGCAGAGGGTCCACCCTTGTCCTTGTCCCCAAACCCCCCAGCCACCCAGCCACACAGCATCCCCACGCCCAACCCTCTCCCACCCCTACCTCGGCTTCATGCCTGTCAACAGAACTTGGTCCAAACCTATATGCAAATTTCATGAGTTTATTGGAGTCAAAATTTTGAGGACTTGCCTGGAAGCGAGATCTCCAGGGATTGAGGGGAAAAAAGAACAACACAAAAAACCTGTCTGCCTTTGTAATGATAATATCTAGTTTCCAATAAGCTTATCT